ATTATTATTATTCCAGCTCTACAAGGGAACACACACTGCCAGGACTTGGGTGCCCTGTGTGCGTTGATATTATTATTCCAGCCGTGAAGAGCTCTGAAGCGGAAGCCCGTGAGGCCTGCGAGGCCTAGGCGCGCTCAGCCGATGGGAGGCGCCCAGCCAAGAAGAAGAAGAAGAAGAAGAAGGAGCCGCCGCGCAGAGGAAGCGGGGCTCCTTGTGGCGGCGTTTCTGCCGTTGGCTGATGGCTCCAACGGCCTCCCTGGGGCGCCCTCTCCTTCTCTGGGCGGCGATGGCGGCGCTGCTGCTGCTGCTGCTTCTGGTCCTCCCGGCCTCGGCCTCGGCCTCCTCCTCCTCCTCCTCCTCTGGCCGCTACGAGGCCACTTGGGAGTCGCTGGACTCGAGGCCGCTGCCGGAGTGGTTTGACGGCGCCAAGCTGGGCATCTTCATCCACTGGGGGCTCTTCTCGGTGCCCAGCTTCGGGAGCGAGTGGTTCTGGTGAGACGGACACGTCCTCCTTTCCCAGGGCCTGTCCGGGAGGAATTCCCAAAATGTCCTCCCTTTGGAGCGCGCGTTGGCATTTAATTATAGGAGCGTTGATTTGACCTCAGGGTCGCCAGACACGTCCTACGTTTCAACCTTCTCTGCAGGAGGAATCCCAAAATGGCCTCCATTAGGGACCTGATGAAGAAGCATGAATTCACATTTATATTAGTTTTCACATTTAGTTCAGGTTAACCAGAGGCCCTCCTTTTTCCAGGACATGGCCTACATTTCAGCCTCTTTCTGTCCAGGAGGAGTTCCAAAATGGCCTCCACTTGAGGCAGGACCAGAAATAGTGCAAATTGAGTCCACTTTTAGGGTTAGGGTTAGTGCTAGGGAATCATGGGAACTGTAGTTTTTTCTGAAACATTGAGCCTTCTCTGTCAGAAAGCTCTGGTGCCACAATAAAATACAGTTCCCATGATTCCTTAGCACTGACCCTAACCCTAAAAGTGGACTCAATTTGCACTATTTCTGGCAGTCTGCAACCCCCCCCTAAGAAGCACGAATTTGTATTTCCGTGGGTGTTTTTAGCCTTTACTTGGCCATGTCCTCCATTTTGCACTTCCTTGTCCTCCTTTGCAGTTAGGACATCTGGTCACCCTGCCTTCCCATCTCTTTTTGCCTCCTTGCCCGTTGACTCAGAGCCAGCTCAGTCTTGACGAAGGCACAAAATGCCATTTGTGGTTGTGGTTGTGGTTGTTTAGTGTCCTGGAGCCAAGCCGACTCATGGCCACCCTGTGAATGAGACGCCTCCAAGACCCCCTGTCCTCCACTATTCTGCTCAGGTCCTGCAAATTCAAGCCCTAACAGTCCATCCATCTGGCATGTGGCCTTCCTCTCTTTCTACTTGTGCTTTCCAACTTATGTTGAACCATAAGGTGAACCCATCATGGGGTTTTCTTGGCAAGATTTGTTCGGAGGAGGTTTGCCTGAGGCTGAGAGACTGTGATTTGGCCAAGGGCACCCAATGGGTTTCAATGCCGAGCAGGGAATCAAACCCTGGATGCCAGAGTCGTAGTCCAACGCTCAAACCACTATACTATGGGAAAGCCGCCACATTTGGCACCATTTACTCAGAGGAGTTTTGCCATGGCCTTCTCCTAACTCTGAGAGAGTGTGACTTGCCCAAGGTCACCCAATGGGTTTGTAGGGAATTGAACCCTGGTATCCACAGTCATAGTTCAGCTCTCAAACTACTACACCATGCTGGCTCTCTTCTCTTTCTGTCTACTTTTCCTAATGAGAGGGAAGCATCATTGTCTTTTCTAATGATTCATTCTTTCTTCTGAAGTGGCCAAAGTGCCTCTGCAGACTGCCAGAAATAGTGCACATTAAATTGAGGCACTGCCCTGGCTCAGTGCTAGGGAATCATGGGAATTGTATTTTTTTCTGAGACATTGAGCCTTCTCTGTCAGAGAGCTCTGGTGCCACAATAAAATACAGTTCCCAGGATTCCCTAGCACTGAGCCAGGGCAGTGCCTCAATTTAATGTGCACTATTTCTGGCAGTCTGCATCTTGGCTTCCAAGGGAGAGTTGGGGCTTGATCTGTTCAAGGACCCATTTGTTTGTCCACAGTATCCTAAGCACTCTTCTCCAGCACCACATCTCAAATAAATTGATTTTCTTCTTTCTTCTCTGTCCAGCTCTTACGTTCATATATGGTGATGGGGAATACAATGGCTTGGATGATCTTTGATTTAGTGTTCATAGTTATGCTGTTTGCATTTGATAGTTACAAATCAAAGGAGTGCAAAGCTGGGAGGTAATGTCTAAAAGGTACTTAGAAGCACAATACATGTACTGGGCTCTGAAGCTCTCTGTAGTAAAACGACTTCTTGAAAACATTGTTTGTTTTCTCTTTTCCTGGTTCAAGGGCGTTTTCCTTCCTCAAGAAATTTGTAGTGGCAGCAAATCATCCTTAGGCACTTTTAAGACTAATGCATTTGAAGATACCTCAGGATTCTATCCAAAGTCTGTTTTCTGATAACCTGTATTAGGCCAACCAGGAAGGTACAAAATTATTTGTGGAAGCTTTTGAAATATACATTTCTTAATTAGGCAAAGATTTCTTTTAAAAAAGCATTCAGGGGGAAAATGGGGAGTGATAACATTGGAGTTGCTGGGTATGCATGCTGTCTTGCAAAGGTATGGTGGAAGTATCTGCAAACTTTAAAGTACTTTAAGTCCATTTATAATCCTGGGCTCACTGGTGACAACAAAGGCAATAAAGGAAGAACAACAACATTTGTTCATCTGTTTAAAAACACATGCTCTCTCTTTCTCTTTCTCTCTCTTACACACACACACACAATGCATTTGAAAACTCACTTGTCTCTATCCAGCCCCTTTGTAAGAAGAGAGCAGTTAGTTTCCAGGACTGG